ATGCATGAAACAGCGAAACATGCATGACAGTCATTGCAAAATGGTGCTTACGTAAAGGGTTCTTGGCTATCTTTCAAGGCGCTGGGCGAAGTAACGCAAATCAACGCATTCATGCTCTTGTCGGTATCAGTATTTCCCTCCCCCTCCTTGGCCTTTTGTTTTGCTGCAGGGCAGACGAAGTATGCACAGTCAACCGTCGGATTTGCTTGGGGATTGAAGAGGGAAATGAAGGAGACATTTTGGGTATTGTCGTAAGGTGAAGCGTTTGCTCCATATGCTGGTGGAACCTCCCCGTTGAAGTTTGTGAGGGCTTCCTTCCAGTAGTCGACTGCAGCCTGGCAATCAGCCTGTTCCCCTTCTTGAACTGCGTAGGCGACGGTGCCTGCGAGTGGGGTCAGTTCTGCAGGCGCTTTGTTCTGTTCATAATGCATGAGGAAGGAGACATAAAGCGTGCATTATTTTGGCTCCTTGTATGTGGCGTGTGCGTGTGTGTGTCTCCAAGTGTCTGCACGTGGCTGGCTTAAGTTTCACTGTAAAATCCGATGCCATAAGAGAGAGTACATATGATGTAGACAGTTTGCATCTCATTGTCGAGCCTCACAGTTTTCACTGCATTGCAGACATTTCCCAGGTATTCCGTGAGTTTGGCGGCTTGTTCTCGAGTATTTGCCCAGTCACTAGCAGAAAGTTTGAACATATTTTGTTGCGTGAGTTTATCGAAACCAACAGCACTTCGAGCCAGGTTCATTTGTTCCCAGCACTCCGCTCTTTCTGCAGGAAATCAGCACAAGAAACAAGTTTGAATTTTGCATCCCGTTTTTAGCAGACACGAAACGAAGCTCTTCTTACTGGTGGCTTACTGGCCTCGTTAGTAGCAGCTTCATCAACGCCTTCTCCATTGGCATCATCATCTTCTTCACCGAGTTCCCCCCCGCCTTGACCAACTCCACCACCTCCAATGTCTTGATCAGGACTGACATCGTCTACATCAGTTAGCTCTTTTCCATATGCCCAGCCGGCCTGCGAGAATAATATGGCGGTGGCCGCCACCGACAGGAGCTTCAGACCTGTCATTCTCGAAACCCAAGGAAGAAACGCCGAGCCCAAAGAAAATAAATAAATAAAACGTTTTCAGGAATTGTCTAAATGTTGACGACCATATCAAGTGGCAAAAGACTCCAGCGCGAGGAGAGACACCTGGTCTTGGGGCGGTCTTGTGGCTTGCGCAGTTCCGCGCCGATGGTCCGTTCTACACCTTCGTCCACGGTGTTTTTTATTCAGCGTAAAACGTTAAGTATGAGTGATACTTTGTGAAACGCAATATACACACATAACTTAGCGCTTCCACCTGGAGCGTAGGCCGCGGCGGGGATCGACCGCTTTAGCTTCTCGTCCCACTGAGGACAAAAACTGATGCGAACTGCAAGTTGATGTGATGTCCTCGAGACTTTGCTCAAGGGTACACATTTATATGCATTTAAGACACATATCACAACCCCCATTTATATTTGTCCTCTTCTTGTACTGCATTGTGCCCCGACTGTGAGAACCCTCCACGATCGGCTTTGCCTCTCTG